AGAATTACTTTACCACCTGAGTGGAAGGTTTAAAAGTATTTTAGATGTTAATATGTTAGCAAGAGAGAAATACCAGAAAATCAGTTCAAGAGCTAGATAAGGTAATAATTGCTGTGTAACTAGTTGAATATATGCACAGTTTATTTAAATGAAATAAAAAACCCCACCCATATTTTCCTATAAAAAGGAGGTTCAGAGCTGGAGGCAGGGTCCTGATGAGTCTCCTGGTCTAACTTTTAGATGAAATTCCTTGTGTTTCTAATTTGGTACCTAGAGCTGGAAAGTTATCATAGTTGAGACAATACAAAGAGATAATACAAAGCAACACACTCCATTTTCAGAAGGCTTCAAACTGTTTTTTATTATAGCATGCATGCTTTTTACACATTCTTAGAAAACTCGTAAGTTCACACTTTACTCCTTGATCATGAGAGACAAAGTGCTTATTGGAATAGGCAGTTGCAGGTTTCTCTTATTTGTTTTCTTCTTTCTTTCTTGGTTTCTATGTCAACGACCTTGGTAGAAAATTCTTTCAGGGGTAAACATGGATCCTCTTATCAAACATCTCTCTGGCTCACAGAAGTCACTGTAAAATGTCTTCCACAGAAAATCCTTAGGAAGGCTTTACCTGCTTATACAAAGCAACCTGCTTGCAAAGTACAAGTAAAACTAGTATTGGCAATAGTTTCAGGGTGTACTCTTGAAACTCTTTGAATTGGACTTGTAAAATAGTATCAGATTCTCCATAAACTTTGAATAATGCAATTTTATTTTTTAACCATGTTAAACTGAAATTATGGTTGAACTGTTAATTTTTAGCTGGAAATAGGTACTTTTTCTTTCTTTAGATGAGTGACAAGTTGTGGATGTCAGAGGAGGAACAGACAGCTAAGAATGGGAGGTCCTCTTGTGTCCCTGCTAAGGGCTTCATACTTCTGTGTAACTTGTTAATTAGTATGATCCTTCATATGGTTGTGTTTCAGTGGCTCTTCTATTGCTCTGATTCTGCAACAAAAGATTTATCAGCTGTTTTTTCTCACGTTTCCCCAGCATGTCGAATTCTATTGCTTGCACTGTTGTGTGATGTTTCAAGGATCTTGCCTTATTCCACTTCTGATAGAATGAATTTTGTGTTTTGTTTTTATTTAGGTCAACCAATGAAATGCAATCTTCATATGAATGGGAATGTCATCACCTCAGACCAGCCTATATTGCTGTAAGTGTCCTTCAGTGGGGAAAAGGTCCAAAAGCTTTTGCAGGTTCTATTTTGAGGGTTGTTGTTCCTTGAATTTTCTTTGTCTCTCCTTCTGTGGCACAGTATGTTGAGAGGAGTGCAATGTAGCTTGACTTCATAATGTTCTCAGCCTTGAGGCTCAAAAATAATCTGAGATGAGGGTATTTTCTTGTGAGAAAAGCATATTTAAAACCTTTATCTCTTATATTGGTAAGAGGAAAACACTGGTAACAGTAAATGCAGACACAGTGTTAAAATTTGTCATAAAGAGAGGTTAAGTACTGCCTTTTAAATTTTTTTTTTTAATCCTCCAGCCGATTGAGTGATACCCCTTCAGTGAAGAAGGAAGGGGAACCACGCCGGTCAAGTGCAAGCGCCTCCTCAAATCCCCCAGCTGAAGTGGACCCTGAAACTATCTTGAAGGCACTCTTCAAATCCTCAGGGGTCTCTGCATCTGTGCAGCCCACAGAATTCAAAATTAAACTCTGAGAGGGGGGAGCAAGCAGTGGACTGGAAAACTCATATAAGCTGGGGGATGAGGAAAGTGCAGGAGTGCAGATGTTATTTGCATTTGCCTGTCCTGAAATTTTTTGTTTTCTATGATCGCTACCTTACTGTACAATAGTGTTTCCTCTTGTGTGTGTACTTTCTGTTTTCATAGTTGGAGTTTTCTTCCATGATTTTTTTTTTCCAAGAGAATAACCTTCCCCTTCTGCCAGTAATGTATTACCAAGCATATACCATGTAACTCCATCCTTTACTCCAAAGCCCCCAGTGGCCATTAAAAGTGCACATAGACTTTGAGGGGAGGAGTGGTGATCTCCTTCTGTTTTCTTCTGACTGACCTTTAACTGAAGGGTGCATCCCCTTGGTTGTCCACAGGCAAGAGCACCACGTTGTTTCTGAAGTTGCTGCGCTGGGTACAAAGGCAGGTTGGGCTCCCTCCAGAAAGGACTTGTGTGCATTTGTGGCATAACTCTTCCTTCTGGCTGCTGGACACTTTCCTCTCGGCAGCGGGGAGAAGCGGAGCTGCCCGCGGTGTGCCAGCGGAGGCGTCAGGCAGAAGGGATGTGTGCAAGTGCACCGGCCTTGTGCTGTGGGCAGGGGTGTTTCAGCTCTGGTAGTGCCAGAGGGTTGTTCTGGCATTTGTACAAGGAATATATTTGCTCTGGAGGGTCAGGCTCAGTTGCTCTCCTCTTTCTGGACTGAAAAATTAAGAACTAGTTGTGTTCAGAGCTAGAAGAAACCCAGTTGTGTGACTCCCATTAGATTATATTGCCTCCTCCTGCTGATGCAAGGACATGAGTTTCTTTCTTGCCTTCTAACTCAGCCAGTCTCCTATAAAAAGGAAGGACCTGAGACCCTTTTCAGATCCTAATACACACAAAGTCTAATGTCTGAGAGCTCGTTTCTTTGAGAGATGCTGTTTGTTTGGCTGCTGTGCGGTTATGCTGCTGGCATGCCTGGATTTGGAGGATGATGGCTGCAGCGTGTGACTTCAGGGAGAGGTTTAGGAGCAGCGGGCAGATAGTTCTGTGTAAGGAGCACCGGAGAGGAATGTCAAGTCCCGGGCAGGGTGGCGAGGACGTGGCGTGGACCAGCGAGTGTGTGTGACAGGCCACTAGGTGGCACTTCCAGTACTTCCCATTGTTTGTACCGCATTGGCACCTTGGATGTTGAAAGTCCCAGTAGCTCCACTCGTTTGTGTTTGTTCAGACTGTATTGGAAGAGAGGAAAGCTGAGAGCAACTTCCAGAGCCAGGTTGGAGTTCGAACTTGATCCTGCTAGCTGGGAGACTAATCTAATCCATTCTGTTCAGCTCTGCGGAGTAGCTCCTGTAAGTCCAGATTCTGTTTCTTGGACAACCCCATGTTTCTTTTGCTTTCTTGTTCTGTATGAACTTTCTTCTATCTAGCTTGTGCAGACCATTCCTTAATCTCACTGTATCCCTTTTAGCCATGGAAATAATAAGGACTTGGCACGACTTGTTTTTCTGGAGTACTCTGGTTGGAAGGCCAGTGACACCATGATTGGTGGGGTGCTTCATGTGAACAGCAGATGTTTGTAGGGGAGGGGACCTAAGACAGCTATTGTTCTCCTTTTTTAGATTGCCCACCAAATACATGTGTTTTAATAAAAAAAAAAAAAAAAGAAAGGGGGAGGGAGGGGGAGGAAACATTAGGGGTTGGAAAAGATAATGTATTACCTGTTTCTGAATAAACGTTTGTTATACAGAGAGTGGATTCTAAGCCTTTTGAGATGCTGTGAAGCACCTAAAGATAAGTGGTGGCGTTCCAGTATTGAGTGAGTCGTGCTTTCTGAGTGAACGTAGACATTTCTGATAATGTGATGAAGAGCAAGAGGAGCTTACAGGTGAAGGAGCTGTTACTCATCCACTTTCTAGTCTGCATCATACAAATTAGCAGCTGACTCCTGCTACTAAATTGAAGCCATTTGTGTTTATGTAATTCCAATTCTCTTTTTAGAGAGAAAAAAACCCAGCCTTTGTTACTGACAGCCTGGTCATTTAAAAAGTAATTTTATAGCCAAAACAGCTCTGAGATCAGGGTACCTGTTCCAGGTGAAGTGGGATACAGACAGAAAGCTGTGTAAATGTGAAACATGTATTGGGAGTGTGTCTCTTGCCTCTTCTGAAAGAATGGGGAGACTCAAGGACGTTTTTGATTAATAGGTTTGTGTCCTTTTGAAAAGCCAAGTAGCAAGTTGCATTTTAACTTACTGTTAACCCAAACATAAGGCAGAGTTTATCTGAGAGTTTATGATGGCATTGACATACTTCCTTGGAAGAAGTACTGTCTGCTCTGTGCCATAGCTCTGTGATCTATGGCAGCATATTCTTATTTTTACAAATCTGTGAATTAAGTGGGTGTCCAGACACCACTCCATGGCTCGTCTCACAGCAGCGTCTTGGTGTACAGTGGTGTTCTGGTCTTGGTCAGCTCTTTAATGCACCATTGCATGGCTGCTTCTGTTGGGCACTGAAACAAGAGCAACTGTTTATTCCCAGTTCTTACCAGGTTATTCCCAGTCCTTTTCAGGTAGTTCACCTTGGCTCTCCAGTTTCTCCTGGACGTCCTGCAATTGTCATGCTAATCATGGTTTCGAACCTACCACCTTCTGTCTACATTTATCATCATGCACCATGGTTATATTTTTGTGTTGTTTTGGTGGGTTTTTTTTTTCCTTCTGGGCTGGTAGAAATACCAGCATATGACTTGCATATGAAATACTAATTGCCTGCACTCTGAATTAATGTGCATTAATTTAGACATTAAATTAAATGGCTGGCCAGGACAGGTGGTAGGTAATTTGTAATGGTGTTTCTTTTGTTTGTTTTGGTTTTCTTTCTTTTATTTCCAAAATGTGAGGACTTCTGAAGTTTTGCCACAATGTGCAAGTTTGGTGTATTTTCATGGCTTTTGCATGTACCTTCCGATAATGTTCATTAACTTGATATTTGGTTGGATCAATTCTCCATATCATGTCATATTTTGTCACCTCCTACATTAGCTTTCAGTATTTTTAAAATGGTTCTGTCTTCCATTACAAGTTCGTCTGTAAAGGTTTTGGGTTTTTTTTTGTAATTAATAAGAGTCTTTAAAAACAATTGCCTTTGACTGTTTCTACATCTCTTTAGGGTTTACTTGCCTCTCTCAGATTAAGGACAGTGCGTGAGTTTTACACTGTTGATACAAAAACATAAACTCAACCCCGGGGCTGCGGCGAGTCCACCCGCCGCCATTATCAGGGCCGCGCCGCGCGCGGGGAACTACAGCTCCCGGCGGCCCCCGCGCCGCCGCGCGCAGAGAAGATGGCGGCCGCCACGGGGCGTGCGGCGGCAGCGCCGGCGGGATACACGGGGGAGGGGCAGCGCGGGGCACCGGGAGCGGGGCCGGCGGGATACCGGGGTGAGGAGCAGCGCGGGGTACCGGGAGCAGGATACGCGGGTGAGGGGCAGCGCGGGGCCGGCGGGATACGGGGGTGAGGAGCAGCGCGGGGCACCGGGAGCAGGATACGCGGGTGAGGGGCAGCGGGAGCGGCGGGATACGCGGGTGAGGGGCAGCGACGTCTCAGAGCGGTGCGTCCCTCGCAGCTCTGGCGGTGAAGTTCGCGGAGCGGCAGCGCTCGCAGCACTGCCTGCTGGTGAAGGAGCACCAGGTGCGGGAAGGGGCCGACGCCGCGCACCCGCCTCGCCGCACCCTCTTCGTCCTCAACGTGCCCCCGTACTGCGGCCCGGTGAGTGGGGGCGGCTGGGGGCCGAGCGCAGGGCTGGGGGGCCCGGGAGCCGGCGTGTGCCCCGGCTGCGGCCGGGGAGCCGCCCCGAGAGCTCTGCCGGCTGTTCGAGGGAGCCATCGCTCCTGCTTTGCTGAACCGCGTGTTTTCTCTTACTCTCCCTGTTAAGGACTCTTTGTCTAGGCTGTTCTCTCGCTGCGGGCATGTGCAGTCTGTGGACATCTGTGACAAGCCAGGGCCAGGAGAGAAAAAAGATAAACTGGCGTCCAAATTCTTCGACCACAAAACTCTAAAGGTAAAGCTTGGCAGGGGGAGAGGAGTACTGATGCTTCAGTGGGAAAAGATGGCAAGTACTGAATGCTTCCACAGGAAACCATATGCGGCATTGGGTGACATGATTACTTACTTAAGTTTATACTGTCTTTTTTTTTTGCTGTCCTGCTGCCTCTTGTGGTTTTGAATTTTATTTTTTAAGTTATTTGTACTACAGTTCCTTGCTCCATTACCAATTTCTCTTACATATCTGACTCACCTGGGTGTTTTTTTCTTTCAGGGATTTCAAGTAGCATACGTGGTGTTCAGGAAACCAGCAGCTGTCCAGGCAGCCAAGGCTCTATCACAGGAAGGTCCCTTGCTAATATCAACAGAGAGCCACCCTGTGAAAACCGGCATTAGCAGTATGTCAGCTCTGGCTATCTTTCTGTGGGCTAATGCTGGGAAAGAACTATACTCATTGTTTGCTGAATTCTACCCTACATGCCCCATTTTGTTCTAAGCTGGGGGTTGTTCAGTGTTTTGTGTTCTTTCATTATCCACAGGGTAGCAATCTTATTGAGCTAGATGTTGAAGTCTAGTCTACTGACCCTGTGGGAGAGTGGGGACATTGGAAGGGTCCTTTTTTCCTGACATTTTTTCGGTATTGCCTAGATTCAGAGATACTGTCTGCATCTTGTCCTCAAAATGGAGACCAGACTCATGCAACAGGCCCTGGATGCCTGTCAAGTTGACAGCACTTCACACATAATCTCTTGACAGAAGCACAGAATGATGTGCCCCTTAGGCTTAAGGCTAACCCACTTCTGCCTGGGCAAGTTGCAAACTATTCCCATGGCACATTGATTGTGCTCGCAGCCAAGTCAGTTTATGCTGTAACAGGGGGGAAGCTGAACACAAATGGGAACAGTATGTCCTTCCCCCATGCTAGAGTTTGCTCTAGAGCTGCCCAAAAGCATCACACTAGCCTGCTTCTAACAGCAGCTATTGCTGACTTGTGCCCTCTCTGTCTCAGAGTGGATCGCCAGCTATGAGGCCTCCATCGTGGATCCGAAGGAGCTGAAGGCTGAGGTGGATGCCTACATGCAAGACTATGATAAAAAGATGGCAGAGGTGAGGCCAGGCTAGGGAGGGGACCCAGCTAAGCAGTTTTCTTGGGACAGAGGGAAAGAAGAGAGATTTCTCAGTGCTCCAGCCATAGTGGAAAGGGCTGAGGGTCTCTCTGTTTGGCAGAGGTTTTTTACTCCCAGTTGCTGGTGGGCCGTCACACCCAGGTTTGGTCTGCAACACCTGACCCTTCCCCTAGGGCTTATAACAGATACCCAGAAATAAGTTGATGTGCAGTGTTGTGACTGGAAGTTGAATGCCTGCAGCCCTGATCCCATGCCTTCCTTTAAACCTTGCTTGGAAGCAGGAGCTGTAACTTTGCCGGTGTTTAAGGGAGGGCCGTGAGGAGCTGTGCATTAGGCTGTGCATCTGCACTGGGCTGCCTCACCCTCCTGTCCTTACAGGAAGAAGCCAAAGCCGCCAAGGAGGAGGGTGTTCCGGATGAGGAGGGCTGGGTGAAGGTGACCCGGAAGGGCCGGAAGCCCGGCCTGCCCCGGACAGAGGCTGCCAACCTGCGCGTGCTGGAGAAGGAGAAAAGGAAAAGGGCCCGCAAAGAGCTGCTCAACTTCTATGCCTGGCAGCATCGCGAGAGCAAGAGAGAGCGTGAGTGTGCAGGTCTCCTCCTACCCCTGCCTGGCTCTTGTCTCATGCTGTGGCCCGAAGAGCATCCTTCTGCCTTCAGGGGAGGCGACACCCAGCTGCCATTAAGCAGTTCGCTGGCTGGATCTGAATGGCCTCGTGCCACCACCTGTCCTAGCAAGGGCTGCTGGAATATTTTGTGGGAGGGTGTGGTTTTCAAAGAGGTGCTTATTCAGTCTGCACAAAGGATTGAAGGGGGAAACGAGCCAATTCCTCCCCAAGAGGGAGCTGCAGCACCACTGGAGATGAACAGCTGGAGCCCCAGCTTGGCACTCAGCTGAGGTGTAAAAGGGCCTGCTCTGGAAGTGTGTGTTTGTGGCTGTTGGGACTGAGCCCCTCCGGTATGTTGAAGTGAAGCTCCCAGGAGAGGGAGATCTGCTGCTCTCATGTGACTTGTTCTTTCTCTTTCTGTTTTAGACATTGCCCAGTTGAGGAAGAAATTTGAGGAGGACAAGCAGAGGATCGCACTGATGCGAGCCCAGCGCAAGTTTCGGCCGTACTAGGTTGTGCTGAGCTGGTCTTCAGGTGCCTGTGCTGGAGAGGGTAGGACAGATGCCTATTGACTCCATTTGCCAAAGGATTTTGAGGAATTGAGGCAGCTTTGGGTTGCCTCTACCCTTGGATCTGAAATGGGAGAACCCAGCAACTGCTGCTGGAGGAGAGTTCCCTTTACTTGCACCAGCATCCTCCTGCTCTTCTGTCATTCAGCCCCATGGCACCACTTCTCAGGGTGTTCATGTCAAGGGCCTGAGGCACATCCTGTGACAACCTGTATCTCCCTGCCACCCAAAACCACACCTCCTAAAGCTTGGTGAGAACTGGGATTGACCTAGCGCAGCCTCTGCAGGGGCAGGGAATGGCTGAAGAACTGTAAATAAACTGCTGCTACTGTTTTCAGAACATGGGAATGCTTCTTTCTCCCCTCTGGTCTCCTGTGAGAACAGCTTCCTGTGTGCTGAGGTGGTGGTAAAAATCATGGCTTGTAACCAGGTGCTCCATTGCACATTTTGTTGAAGGTATGAGCAGTGAAGTGACTTTAGGAAAAACCTAACTGCAACTTGTTGTCACAAGGAAAGAGCAGTGGTTTGGTACAGAGCCCTACCCCTTCTCTTGGTGATTCCCTCCCTGGCCAAGTGTTGCAGTGCCCAGTCATCCAGCTGTGCATGGAGCTCTGCAGCCATGTGTAGGCCACAGAAAATTCCTGATACCCAGCACTGTTGCAAGAACAAATGCCACTTTGAGCAGCCTGGTTTGGAAGGAGAAACCAGACTCTCCATGCCCTGTTTCCACTTAACCTGTCCCCAGCCCTCAGAAAGCAGGTAAGGATAGCAGCAGGCAAGTTTAGGTGTGGGACAGTGGTTTTGTACTGCTCCTATAGCATTTGTGCAGCTCTGGAATAGTGGTAGGTCTGTGATCAAAGTAACCCATGCAGCCCCAGGCTTTTACACATTCATTTTACCATCTGCAGCCTCACTAGAGATGTGACCATGGAATGTAAGGTGGAAATGGTGGTAAATTCCAGAGAGCTGAGATAAAATTGATTTAGCCTCTCCTAAAAACCGACTGCAAATACAGTTGTGTTGCTTGCAGAGATGACAGGCCTGCCTGCTTCAGTGGGCTTTTTGCATCAATTTAACTGGGAGGCAGATCCTTAATATGGCCTACCTAAGGCAGACAGTGTGTAAAAATTGCTGCCTCCCAAGATGCATTTTAGCTGCTTGGGTGAGCGGCCTGAAAGAGAAAGGAGGTTTGTTTTCCTGTAGAGTCAAGAAGACAGACTTAACATTGGAACATTAATCTTTATTTAGGACAGAAATTTTCTCTGCCAACTTCTCCATAATTTGTACTTCTTCCAGCTGCTTCAGCTAGAGGATTAAGGATTCTCTAGTGTTCATTAAAATGGCCTTCTCTGCACAGGTGAGCTCTTAAAGCAGATTCTTAAACAGTGGTCCTCACAATGGAACAGAGACAATGAGGCCCTCTGAGCTCAGGCATCTATGGAATTAAGCAGAGAAGCAGAACACTTTGTTTTTCAGCAGGTTAAATCCTGGGAGCAGCTGTCCACACCATCCTCAGGGAGGAGGCAAGATGAGCCACCTCTGTTGTAGTGCCAGAGGTGGGGAGCTGCTGCTGTCACAGAGGATGCCTCTGCCTTGTGTTCTCCTCTGTTTCAGGGTGCAAGTTTGGAGTAAGCCAAGGGGAAGGCCACTCTGGGCCTCTATCCCTGTACTCACAGAGCTGGAAGTAGAGCAAGGATTCCTTCTCCCTTTGGCAAATGAGATATTTTGCTCAGCTCTCCTTCAGAGTACCCCTGGCAGACCTGCTTCCACCCTGCAATGAGCTAAGCGTAGGAAAGATTATCACGGTCTAATGCTGCATGTGAGGTAGGAATGGTGACAATTCTGGAGCTGGCTTGTTAGCTCCCAGTTCTGAACTACTGCAGCTGTGAGGGCTTCCTAGAGTCTGGCCCTGGTGTTCTGTGCTGTCAGGAAGTTGCTGATGATCCCAGATACCACCTCGGGCTCGTTCAGGTGCACAAAATGACTCCCAGGCACTTCTGCTAGCTGGATGTGCTGGAGGGAAAGAACACAAGAAGATGTGAAGATGTGGACCAGGAAAGTGATCCCTCAAGCACACTCTGTTTGCTGTGTGACACTCGTGGGAAGGGACAGAGCAACTGAGGCAGGACAGAGATGGGAGGACCAGGAAGAGCTGGGTCCAGAGGGCAGTACTAACTTGGGACTTTGGCAGCAGGGACAAAGTTGACTTCCTCCCTTGACTCCACCCCCCCACCCCCTTCCCCATGCGAGGGCTGTGCTGTTCAGGACAAGTCACCTAGTGGAGGGTGTCCACCAAGGTCAGCTGCTTCCCAGCTGCTGCTCCCAGGTTGGTGGCAAATGGAGATGCAAGGATGATGTTTGCTCTCACCTCTTTGAGGTTAGACTCGAATGCCTCCTGCAGGGCTTTCACAAAGTGATTTCTGCTCGGTAGGTTGTGCGGTACCAAGAGCCCATCTTGTGATCTGAAAAACAACAGTGAGGCTCAGTACAGCACACAGCGTGCTTCCATTTGTCTTTGTGGCTGTCCTGGGCAGAATCAGTGTCCCCAATACAGCAGGGTAACAAACCCAACTGTTCTTTCCAGGCTGCTTGTAAGCAGCAGGTGACAGGGTCACACGTGGTAGTCAGAGTGCACCGCACAGCTTGGCTATGCAGCTATTTTCTGTCAAACTAAAAGGTGTAAAACCTTGGGTGACTGCCTAGTGGTATCAGAGTGGAGACTGGCTAAATATTGTCCTCCCAGGGCTGGCTCTGTAACTGGTCTGAAAACATCCTTCCCTGCCCCTGCTCTGCCTTCTGCTCTTAACTTCTTCCTTCCTTAGAATTTCAACATCTCCCCTCAGTCCTTTCTGCCTCTCTTTACTGCTTATTTAACCAAGTTAGGCCCTGCTCAGAGAGGGAGGTACCAGGGCAGTTGCCCTGGAGAAGTCAGCATTAGATCTCCTGCAGAGCTAAGATCATGCTGTCTCCTGCTGTATTGGTGATGGGACAAGGGGACATCCCAGGCTCAATGACATTTCTATGGCACAGAGGACTTGACCTATATTACATGTCTGGACAAGCAGGAATAACCTGAACCTGTTATGATACTAAAACACATCAGGGAAGTCAAAACTGCACCTCTTTTCTCAACTGCTAGCACTTCTTGTTTTCCAGACAATCTTTTAACAGCACCCCACCAGCCAAGGTAGCCAGAGCCCTGCACACCTTTCCCTCGAAGGAGATGGGAAAAGGCAGAGGATGACTCACAGTACAAGCTGTACACCCAGACAGCTTAACAGCTTGGCAAGCCACTGGCCATGTCCCCAGAGCTGCTTGCCCCAGGCGCCACAGGAGAGAGCTTGCAGGAGCTCAGTTAGACCAGGGGCTTCAGGAGCAGCTGGAGGAGATGGAGACTCTGTAGTTTCACCTGTTTTCTCAGGCAAGAGTTTTTGGGGCCTGGAGAAGGGGGCGGGCTGGGTTGCTGACTGTGGTAGAGTCAGGTCAGGACAGCAAGTAGGAGTGGTGCTGTGGAGGGTCACATATTTGCCAGAATGGCCCCTCGCTACAGTGCCAAGGAATGGAGAGTTGTGAGGTGGCATTGTGAAGCCAAGAGCATGGGGAAGATGGGGCAGGACTAACGTTTCCTCAGTCAGCCTTGCACCAGGAAGTCCTAGCCTGAAAGCAGAGTGCCAGGCTCGGAGGATGTTCCAGTTGCTGTCTGCCTTCTCCAGGAGCCTGCCCAACCCAGGGCAGTGGTGGGGAACTGGGAAATACTTCTCACTTGTGAAGCTGTACTGTTACACCAGCTGGCCAAAAGTCTGGGTGCCTAGTGTAGATGAAGGGGTAGTGGAGGACTCCTTCCTAGCCTTCGTTCCTTCCACTGAGGGAGACAGCAAGGGCTGGTGTGGTTTGTGCCTCACTCACACAATGATGAGAACACGGTCCTGGATCTTCTGCAGGAGTTTCACACACTGCTCCACTGTGAAGAATTCTCGACTCTGCTGCAGGTGCAAAGAGAGGGAAAGTGTCAAAGCTCAGGGACAGCAGCTAGGGGCAGAGGGTGTCCCCAAGCCCTCCTGCACAAGGCTCTGAAGGTAGAAGTAACTGTAGCCCTGAAGCTTCCATGCTGACACATGACAAGCGTCCAGGCTGCACACAGGAGTAGATGGCTCTGCAAAGGCTCCTTCTGTCCAGCCGTGTTTCAGGGCTGCCAACAACATTGCCTGCTGGGCAGCAGCACATATGGGAATGATCTCATAGAGAAAAGCTTTAAAAATCCTTTTACTAAAAAGGAGAGAGTACATAACCCTGGCTTCCATATCCTGGCAGTAGCACAGATAGAGGAGGCCCTAATTGCTCAAAAGTGGCACAAAACTATCAAAATACAAAACCCAAGGACTTTGCTCCACTCCCCTTCTTATTCAGGTCACCTGACAAGCTGACAGAAAGCATCAATCCATGTGCTGCCTGAAGAGCTATAACAGCAGGAAAATGTGGCCAGGAGGCCCTGGGGCAGAGGAACTTCTAAAAAAAACAAACAGTAATATTTTCCAGTGACTCTGTAAGCTGAATCAATGATCAAGTGCAGGCTCTTTTAAAAGCAGCATTTAAAGGACGCGTGGGAATTTGGGAAGCAGAAAGTAAGCAGCTGGGTGGAGGCAGGGCCTGGTTCAGTGAGCAGGCATCCTCTGTCTGAGTGTTCTTAAGCTCAGGGCTCCAAAGTAGCAAGGGGCATGTCGGAAGAGCAGTGCTCACCGTACGGGCTCTCATGTCTCTGTTATACACCAGCCCTGCAAAGAAAAAACAGAAGTTTTTCTTAGGAGCAGGAATTGTTCTGTTTTAACTCACTTTTGGGGTCTGCCCAAGATTTTCTGAGATGGGAAGAATAGGATTAATTCATATTTCTCCCTTTTTTTTACTTATTTTCTTTAGCTGTTCTGGGATTTGAGAACCAAACCCAGTTGCTGGGAATGGAGAACTCTTCCTCCAGACTTAATTGATCCCATTCAGGCTGTGTAAATCTGTAGCTAGGGCACCCTGTACCCTGCAGAAGACAATGGCTGTTGGCATCAGTCCCTTCCCACACCCAGCAGTGGCCCAGCACCACACAGCCCCTTACCAGCGGGTGTCTCAGTTGCTCCTCGCTGCAGCAGGATTGCCCCACCCTCTGCTGTCAGATGGCTGTTTGCTTCTAAAAGCCTGAGGGAGACATGGCAGAGAGATGGTGATGCTGGAAAAAGGGAGGAAGTGAAGCAAAAATGCCATGACAAGGTGACAGTGAGCTCTCAGGCTGCTTCAGAAAGGAGCAGGAAGAAGCAGCAGCTTCTGGCAGCAGAAGCAAAAGGTCTTGCTGGG